GCTTTTTAATGCTGTATTCAAATAATTAACACCTATCAAAAATAACTCTTTTACAACTATATTGAAACTGCCACCAGGATGAGTGAGTTTATCCGACATCCTTGTTAGTATTGACAATGCAACAACTTCTTTCTAGCATTGGAATTCACTTGAATTGACCAAATATTCCAAATAGTGAAAAGGGGCTTGCATCTGGAGCCGAGAGACACCCCATGTAGAAGCTGGACAAGTCATACAACCTCTTTGAACCTTGGTTTACTTCTCTGTGAAATGGGCTCCTATAGACTCTGAGGACAGCACAAAAGAGTATTGGCTCTGAATCTACACCCAGCCCATCCACCCAGCAGGGGCACACACTCTGAACCAAGATGGTAACACCCAAGGAACAGGGAGAGCTGAAGTCTGGTGGAGCATCTCCTTAGCCCTAGAGTCAGGAACTTAAGACTAGAACCATATCTGGGAGGACACTCAGAGATTCCTTAAACTTTTCATCCTGTCTCACTGGCTCTTTTCATTTTTCCGATTGTTCTGTTTATATCTGCAGGGAAAGAGACAGAAGGTTTTATAAAAGATCAATTTTCCTGACTCTTATCAAAAGCGGATGTAAACTTCTCAACTCAAAATATTATCTATGTTGCTTCTGAGTCACGGAGAGAGGGGAAGTTCAGAACAGAGCACAAAGGGAAGAAAGAAAGGTTCGTCCAGCTACCCATGACAGGAAGCAGAGGATATGCAAATATAGGCATATCTCTCAAGGGAGAAGGCAAAACTGTCTTGAAAGGATGAAAAACACTCGCATACCACAACAAAATGAAATACAAGGAGCAGGAATGTGAAGGTCGTTTATTTGAAAATAAAAGAGAAGGAAAGAAAGATTATGAACACAGTAAGAGGGAGCCATAGAGAGTTGTACTCCCTCAGAAAGTAGTAGGTACAGAGCTACACAGAAGTGCCAGCGTACCGCAGCAAGCAGGGACCCAAATCCAGCCCTGCTCTGCTTGCCAAGCTATGGTCCTTGCTTGTTTGAGCCCCAGATGGTGCCTTTTTCCTAATAGTCCGCCCAGTTCACATGCCAGCTAGCTATGATACCACAGGTAAGAAAAATGAATAAAAACAGACTTGAATGCCTCCATTCCCAGTGAACTCTGATGTTAGCAGTGTAATGTCCTTGACCACAGCTGGAATCATCTCAGGATGTGATTACAGATAATGCAAAAATATAGAAAGATGGACGTAAGCATCCTCTTTACCACTCCAGCACCTGTGAAGGCCAGACCATGACAGCTGAGTTTATAAATTTTTTTTTTTTTTTTGAGACAGAATCTCACTCTGTAGCTCTGGGTAAAGTGCCGTGGCGTCATAGCTCCTGGCAACCTCAAACTACTAGGCTCAAGAAATCCTCCTGCTTCAGCCTCCTGAGTAGCTGGGACTATAGGCACCTGCCAGAACATCCAGCTATTTTTCCTATTTTTAGTTGAGACAGGGTCTCACTCTTGCTCAGGCTGGTCTCGAACTCCTGAGCTCAAGCAATCCACCTGCCTTGGCCTCCCAGAGTGCTAGATTACAGACATGAGCCACCACAACAGCTGAGTTTAAACGTCTTAGTGGAAAGGACTTAAGGCTGGACATCTGGTGTCTTAAGGCTCGGTCCCGGAAGCTTCAGGAAAGAAACAGATCTTGGCTCAATAGAAAAAAAAATTATTTAACACAAAGATACCCAGAGATGGAACAGGCTTTCTGGGAGGAAACTAAGTTTTCCTCATTGAAGAGATTTGAAGCAAGCTATTTAGGGTATCCAATCAAAGCATTCTGTTCTGTTTTGTTGTTGTTGTTGTTGTTGTTGTTTGAGACAGAGTCTCACTATGTCACAGGAAAGTGCTGTGGTGTCAAGCTCACAGCACACTCTAACTCTTGGGTTTAAGCGATTCTCTTGCTTCAACCTCCCAAGTAGCTGGGACCACAGGCACCTGCCACAACGCCCGGCTACTTTTTTTGTTTGTTTCAGTTGTCATTGTTGATTAGCAGGCCCACTGGGGGGGCGGGGGTTCAAACCCACCAGCCCCAGTGTATGTGGCCAGCACTATAACCCTTGAGCTATGGGCACTGAACCAATTTTTTTTTCTTGCCTCCAGACATCATTAGCATTAATGATTAGAGATCATTAGCAAAACACAATTGGATGTTGAGCATTTTTTTCAAAGACAATGAGTGAGGCATGGCGGCTTCCACCTATAAACATAGCACTCTGGGAGGCTAAGGTGGGTGGATGCTTGAGGACAGGAGTTCGAGACCAGCCTAAGCAAGAGCAAGACCCTGTTTGTACAAAAAAGTAAAAAAAAAAAAAATACCTAAGTGTCATGGTACATCTTTTGTCCCAGTTACTTGAGAGGCTGAGGCAGGAGAACCACTTGAGCCCAGGAGTTTGAGGTTACTGTGAACCAGGCTGATGCCATAGCACATGAGTAAGACACTGTCTCAAAACAAAAACAAACCAAAAAATGCCAATAAAAAAAGACACTGCAGATGAAATCTTAGAAAGGACAAGAAAGCAGAGAGGGGTAAACCCCAACTGTGGAAGTACTCTGAAGACGCGGGGGAATGGAAGTTAGAAGTGGAAACACCCAGAAAGGGTGGAAGATGTATGCCTAGGCTCAGAGTCACTGTGGCTCTTAGTGAGACAATTCATTTTTTTTTTTGGCCAGGGCCGGGTTTGAACCCACCACCTCCGGTATATGGTCCTGGCATCCTACTCCTTGAGCCACAGGCAGCGCCCCACAATTCGTCTTTTTTGTTTTAAACAGTTATGTTGCTTTGCTGGGTTCCCCACATACACACAGTTGAAAGACACAAATTATAAAATATTAATCACAAAAGTTATGACACATTTTATGGAAGACCAAACCCAAGAAGACATTCCCTTCAATGTCTGTCTTGCAAGGAAAATAAATTCTGACCTAATAACTTTCTGGGGCATCCATGCGTGTAAATAGAAAATCGAACAGTACTGGTTATAATTTATTTAAGTCTTTGATTATGCTTCTTTTTCCTTAAACGAAGCATGGTTAGTTGTGTAAGACTTCAGCAATTCAGAAAAAAATAGAGAGAAAAATGATAATTACCAAGGGGCTTACCTGTGGGATCTAAGAAATGTTATCTTTAACTGAATCTTTGTTTTAATTTGTTTAATCATTTTCTTCTTTCAGAGACAAAAGACCTTAACATCACTTGCGGCACTTCCATTTCACTGTTCAATCTCCATCACCAGAGAACAACAGTAATCTACCATGTTTTCATATTTACATAGGCTTAAAATAAGGTTACCAGATTTTAACATTGGTAAAGCGGGACACCACTGACGGGGGGGGGGGGGGGGACGGGAATGCAAACTTTGATAAGCAGTTCTCCATAATCACTTCTCAACAAGTATTTGTTACTATTACAGTTTAACATTATAAAATTAAAAAAATATATAAAACTCATATCCTGGCAAAATAGCCACATGGCAGCTGAAAACCATATATTCACTTACTGTTCTCTCGCCCATTTGTGCATTCTTTCCAAAAATCGGGACTTTTTTAGAACGCCATGGGACGTGGGACAAATTGTTGAAAATCAGGACCATCCCACCAAAAGCAGGACATCTGGTCACCCTAGCTTAAAGCGTATAGTAACATTCATACACCCTTAAATATACACATGTGGTGAATTACATAATGATGATCTAATAGAAATCATCCAGCAATGTTAAGAGAAACACTAACTAGTAAAAAATGTACTCTTTACATATTTTAATAGATTTCATTTACTATTATTTTATTTAAGATCCTTGTATGCCTGCTCACAATTAACTATAATTTTATTTTGTTTTACTTTCCTTGTGCAGTTTTATTACCAAGGTTAGACGTATCAAATGGTGTAGGGAGTTCTCCTGTTTTTATTCTTTGATACAGTTTCTACAAAGCAGCGCTTATCTGGTCTTTGAAGATTTTTGGCTGGGTCTGGTTGTTTTGTTGTTGTTGTTTTGAAGAAGGAGCAATTTGGGGGAAGGCTGTAGATCATTCATGCAATTCATTTCTTTTGCTGATGACAGGTGTATTACAGCTCTTTCTTTCATCAATTTGTGTCGCCGGTATTCTTCTAGAAAATCATCCAGTTTCTCTGTTTGCGAACGTAGTATTCCCTGAGGTTTTGAAATCTCCCTCAGTCATTATGTTCTGTTCCTCTTCCACGATTTCCCCCCTCTTGTCCTTGGCCATTCTTGCCAGAGTCGGCCTTATCACTCACGTCAAGGAACCGGCTTCTAGTTTGGCTGGTTTTCTTTATCACGACTTTGTTTTCTAGCTTGTTAATTGTTCTCCTTATCTTTATGGTTTCCTTCCCTCTGCCTCCTTTCTGCTTGCTCTGTGCTTGTTTATCTGTTGTGCTGGGTCTAGCACTTCACTGGCAAATTTTTAGTCTTTCTTATTTTCTAATATATGTGATTAAGACTTGGAATGTTCATTTAAAGTAGCATTGATACGGGCTGCACCCTGCGGGCTGTTCTGCTGTTTAATTTCAGTTATTTTATAATACTTATTATTTTGCTCTTACAGTTTTTTGTTTACTATTACGGAGAATTTCTCAAACCTATACAAAGGCAAGCACTGCTTTGCATTGGATCCTTCTAGAATGTTCCTAGAGCAGCATCACACTGCTTCACATTGAATCCTAGAATGTTCCTAGATCAACATCACCCGCAAATAAATGGGCTTTCTAATATACACTTTGGGGTAACAACATTCCTTGGTTATTTTCATTCTAGAAATCCGTATGCTTATTTCATTTATTCTCCCTGAAGTAAAAATCTATACCTTAAACATCTTTGTGTCATACAAGGTTAAGGGCTCAATGGAATCCGGCTCAATCCATTTTCTTTTTTAACTCCCATCTGACCAGATTAAAAGTAGCCCGTTTTACCATAAATGCAGACTTGTTTCATAGACAGTGAAAAATAAAATTTTTTAGGTACAGTTACCGCTGTCATTTTGATCATGACAGTTTCCAAATTTGAACCTCCACAAAAGTTCAGGACAGCCCAACAAGCACCATTTTCGGAACTATAAATAAAGCAGCTGTCTTGCAGGACCCTTCCCAGGCCTGATTTTTTCCCCTTTGCGGGCCGCTGATCCCCGTCCTGCTGCCTGGTTTCCAAAGGGCTCAGCGCGCGCGCTCCCAGGGAACGAGCCATCCAAGCCGCACCGCTGAGCCCAAGAAAAGCACCGAGGAGCCTCTGCAGGAAAAATTTGTTGCCGCACGAAGGAAAAGATTCCAGAGCTTTCAGACGCCACCACCACTGGCTCAACTGTTTCTAAAAATAGCAATTCTGTGGATGAAAAAAAAAAAATTACTGGCACCAGACATTGGGTTTAATTGTCTCCAGCCTTTAAAATAGAAACAAGCTGAAACGGACGTGCCCCTGGAACCCTCACTGAGCCGCGGTCAGCATGGACCAGAAACACACACACACACACACACACACACACACACACACGTCCCCGGGAGCGCCACAGGGCCAACCCCGCGCAGTGGCGTCACCGCGGAGCGCGGGCCCAGGACAGTCACTCCCAACGTGGAGACAGGCGCCAAGGACCCAGGCCTCACCTCCAGGCTTCCCAGAGATTCTCCGAGAGGGGACCCAGGGAAATACGAGGGATTCTCCTCCCCCAAAGTTAAAGTTGTTTGTCAAATTCTTATCTTTCTACTTTTTCTTAATATTAACATTAGCTTATTAGTTCCTAAATCAGATTTTGCAAATAGTTCCTTGTTCTTCAAAAAAAAAAAAATCAACTTTCTACCAGGAAGGTCCCTCAGCCGAGAGATGCCTGTGCATTCGGGTCCTGTAGGCATAGGCCGCCCCTCACCCCCTAGAGATGAAGAACACCGCTCTTGGTACCAACAGGGACACAAGCCTGTTTTGTTTCATGTTGTTTTGTGGAATGAGAATATGATATTTGTCAGATTACTAGGTTTCCTACCAGAAACCAATTTCCAAACTTTGGGGATTGCTTCTGAATCAAAAGCTCCGCATGCCAGAAGATTCAAGGAATCCAATTCAAGGAATCCAATTCTAGCCTCCACTCATTCAAATATCTCCTGCCTATTAGATGAATCACCCGGTGAAAACGGGTTTATTTTCCCCTGCAAGATTTCTAGTATTTGTGAAATTCCTCTTAGTTGGAAGCATAAGATAAACCAATACTCAAGTTTTTCTCAATGCTTAGATAAACAGAATACATAAAAAAGATGTTGTGGGTCTAGGTTTCCAGAAACCCAAGGCCAATTCCTAAGGGAATTACTTCCTCTCCACTCCTTCCAACATGGCTAACTGATGACCCAGGAAGAGGAGAAAAAAGGAAAGGAAAGTGGAGTTCTTCTCTTTCGTGTGTATAATAAATATTCCATAAAGTGTGGAAATGGATGGCTACATCATCAATTAGGGGGGTGGGGACAGCCGGGGATGATACATAAGTCAAAAGAATAGAATTTAATAATAAAGGCTGCCAGCCCCACATAGCTCTGAATTGTAACACCATAGCAAATCCAGACTCTAGTTTAAAACCTTGGATCAAATTGACAGGATTTTGGAAACACATACAGCCAAAGAAATCTAGCACCAGGAGGAGACAGATCCAGGTGGGAATAGCCCATCCAGATGGGGGCATTTAACGTGTAGGCCTCCCAGAAGCCCTGTCTTTGTCTGGTACCATCAGCACATGTAGAAATGTATCATCAACAAAACAAAAACAAACACACAAAAAACCCCTCAGATCTTCCATAAAGGATACAGGAATTACTTTTATCATTTTACAGAGCAAAATTTGTCTTAATTCTTCTTGATTAAGAAAGAAATCAAAGCCGTACTTCCCTTGTCAGCATGCAAAAATCCAGAAAATGGTACAGCCATTTAATTAGCTATTAAGGGACCACTTACTTCCCTTCACCCCTCAATCTTAGCCCCCAGGGGAGAAGTTATTGACTTTAGGAGCTAAATTGACATTCATTAATTAAGTCTAACTGCTCTTGACCACTTCAACAGCTAATCTGAATGAATGCAGCTGCTTTGGGGTGTGTATGTGTGTGCGTACATGTAAAATGGTTGAGAAATTTTTTATTTATTTTTGAGACAGAGTCTCATTCTATCGCCCTCAGCAGAGTGCCATGGCGTCACAGCTCACAGCAACCTCAAATTCATGGGCTTAAGCCATTCTCTTACGGCAGCCTCCCAAGTAGCTGGGACTACAGGCACCTGCCACAACACCTAGCTTTTTTTTGGTTGCAGTTGTCATTGTTGTTTAGCAGGCCCGGGCTGGGTTCAAACCCGCCAGCCTGGGTGTATTTGGCCGGTGCTACCCACTGATCTATAGACGCCACGCTGAGAAATTTGTCTTTGTTGTAACATCTCCATTGTTTCAGCCAGACTGCATCGCAAGCACGCATTCTTAGCGGACAGCTGCTTAATGACAAAGCCTTTCTATTCGCATGTGTGATCTTTCCCATGTTGAAGAAAATTGAAATAAACTAGCCCGGTCAGTGTAAGCATCATTCCTCCTGAACAGTGGGGAAATCTTCACCCATCTTCTACAGCTGAGTCTCTGGAATGCCTAACTTCAAACCACCAGGTAAGTTCAAGGTGAACGTTCATGCCAACAAAGAGAGAGGCTAACTACAAAGAAACATCATAATCCCTGTTTTGTGTCCATTTGGGCGGCCTGTTTGGCTTCATTATTCTTCTTTCAGCCACGTGGAGGCCAAACGCTAGGACAGAACCGCTCTGGCAACTTGTGAATGCCTCTCGCACATATAGGATGACTGATTTCTTTACTTGGCTGTTTAATAAGCAGTAGGGAAGCCCAAAAGGCACTTGGAAGGAGCCAGGCGAAGAGAGGGCACCGTGGCGCAGACTTCGCTGGTGGACTTGGGGTGCCTTTGCACACCTCGGGGCTCCCAGCCATCCCCCTGCGCTCCTGAATGGATTGCTAAGGACTTGGCAATGTTCTGCACAGCCAGTGCTGACATTAAAAGAGGCCACAGCAGGCTGGATCCCAGAGGAAAGGAAGCGCTAACAGTTTGAATCACAGTAAAGATGAAACCGCTTGGTTTAATAACTTCAGGCAACACTTTCTGGGCTGACACTCCCCTACGGTCCGTGACAGCGTCCCAGGGATTCGGAGATAAGTCACCTGATGCCTTCAGAACGTGTTTCCTTTTATTCATGAGATGGTAAAGCCTCTTCTTCACACCCAGCTCTCTTCATTCATGACCTCTGGGCTCTCAGATCCTTAAACAAAGGAATGAAAGATTTGTTTTTCTTCACATCAAAAGGGGAGGAGGGATGAGAAGGAATTTTGACATCAGCTTAAGGGACCTGAAATAGCAAATGCAAAAATTGGGGGAACGTGGGGGTTCTTAGGGTGTGTAAAAGTGTGGCAGGGAGTCCCCCCCCCCCCCCCGCTCCTGTCCCCAGGAGGGAACAGAGGCGCCAGGAAGGTGCCTCCTTGGAAGCTGGCAGTAAGTGGAGCTGACTGTACCCAAGCACATTCAGAAAGACATTTCTCTCATTTCGTCCACTAACTGCCCACAGACACAGTCATGCCTCTGTGACAGTCCTAACGTCCTGGGCGAGGTGACATTTCCCACTGTACTTCCACCTGCTGCAGAATGTTGAGTGTTCAGGAGGCGGGCTGCTCTCTCAGCAGCGTTTATCGCTATGGATCTCATTTCTCTTCACCTAAGACAGCTGACCTGGGGTGTTACCACACCCTTCATCTCACTCCTACTACAGAAGTAGGCGATGCTTGACAGAAAGGGGACACACAGGAACTGGACAATGTCTATTCACTGTCTCTGTGCATTGTGTAGAACAGCAGTCCCCAACCTTTTAGGCACCAGGGACCCATTTCACAGAAGACGATTTTTCCACCAACGTGGGATCAGCATAGCTTTGGAATGATGCGAACACCTTACATCTCCGCCTCAGATCATCAAGCATTAGATGCTCAGAAGGAGCGCACAGCCTAGATCCCGCCCCTGTGCAGTTTACAGCCGGGTTCACGCTCCTGTGAGAATCTGACGTCACTGCTGATCTGACGGGAGGCGGAGCTCAGGTGGGGATGCCAGCAAGGGGCGCGGCTGTAAATACAGACGAAACTTCACTCGCTCGCCTGCCCCTCACCTCCAGCTGTGTGTGGAGGTTCCTAACCACACACAGTTCTGGTCCTCTACCCCGGCTTGGGGACCACAGGTGCAGAAGCAAATGGATGGCTTTGCCAAGCGCCAGTAGTTCATATACTGAATCTTGACAAGAAAGATGAGACAGCTACAGGATCTGCTCAGTCTCAGCAGTCCCCTTGGGCATAGGACAAGCCAGGGACACAGAAGAGCAAACTCCTTATGGGACCGGTCACCGCCTTCCTTGATGACCCCCCAGAAAGAAGGACAGGGTTCACTGGGGCAATGAAGCATAACTTGTCTTCCCCAGGCCACAGAACCTCTTCCCAGCCCCTCCCTAAGCTTACCAATAATCCTCCCTGGGGGAGCAGAAGGAACGCTCATGGGTGAGGGGCTGCACCACGGTCAACAGTGATTTATCCAGAGCATCCAGGGGCTCATCTCTTCCTGAGTAAAGACATATCTGGAAGTCAGAGATTCTGACTTCCAACAGATACAATGGTACAAAAAGAACTTTTAACAAATAAGCTCTAGTACCTCACAAAGACCATAACAGTTTCATTAGAATAAATAAGTGTTAAGTATATAAAGACATATGTGTGTGTGTGTGTGTGTGTGTGTATACTTTGGAAACATTTTTACTTAATGAAAATATATTCTGTATTATTCAAAGACATTGCAGCACATAAGTAATGAATGGACCTGAAAATGAGGGAAAATTTATAACATTAAACTCTAAATAACAAAAATGAAGTATAACTCAGACTTAGTATTTGTCCAGTATGACCTGAAAGAAATACAAATTTGTATTGTACTTTCATCGCCTTAAAAGATCTTCAGGCTGGGGGCAGTGGCTCGCACCTGTAATCCTAGCACTCTGGAAGTCTGAGGGGAGTGGCTAGCTTGAGCTCACGAGTTCCAGACCAGCCTAAGCAAAAGAGAGACCCCCTCTCTACTAAAAATGGAAAAACTGAAGCAAAAGGATTGCTTGAGCCCAAGAGTTGGAGGTTGCTGTGAGCTGTGACACATGGCATTCTATCCAGGGCGACAGCTTGAGACTCTGTCTCAAAAAAAAAAAAAAAAAAAGAATCTTCAAACCAACACTAATAGTTGGTTCAAAAGATCTTCAAACCAACACTAATAGTCATAAATAAAAGTGATAGTAAATCAAAATCTCTCTTGATCTACAAGAAGCAGTGTGACAAAACTACGTGAAATAATTTGTTGTAATATCTAATAAAACCCAAGGAAACTTTATGCCACAGCTCTTTGGAAAGATCCAGCAGTGTGAATCTCCTTTCTTTCAAAATCTTTTCAAGCTTGTATGGCTGAAGTATCTTCAGCTGAATAGTAAATGAGCATGTTTTCATAACATTTATAAGAAACTCACAACATGAAATACAGACATTTTTGAGCCATTCTCTCTGTCCGTAACAAGTGCATTACTTTCCACGACTGTTCAACTGTTTAATCACATCGTTGCCACCCACCCAGACACACAATTGCTATGTTGCTATCACCACAGCAAACTGTCATTCAATTTTTTTTTTGGCTGGGGCTGGGTTTGAACTCGCCACCTCCGGCATATGGGTCTGGCGCCCTCCCCTTTTGAGCCACAGGCACCGTCTCTGTCATTCAATTTTTAAATAGAGAAATCACTGGAGGATTATTCTGCTGTT